TTTTTTTTCATTTATGAATTTATTATGATTGAGTTAACATTGGTAGATCACATGACTCACTTCTAATATGATAATATGATAATTATGTGAATTTAATTAACTTACAAATCTATTTATGTTCAAATGCAAAATAAGTTGTACGTTTTTTTTAAAATATATTAATATTATAGTGTTATTGTCCTATATTTTAAAATATTTTATGTTTCTATTATATAATAATAGTTATACATTATTTAAAAGTTAAAACATAAGATAATTTAAATATTTTATTTTTATTGTTCAAAATATTTGTTAAAGATAAAACGATAAAATCCAGAATTTAAAATGATGAATATCTTAAATATATAATAATAATTTTTAACAATTTCTATTTAATTTATTTTCAAGCCTTAAAAATATCTGTTCTAAAGACTCCGAAATATATTTTAATTAAAATATATAATTATGATTTGTGAATAATGGAACAATTTAGATATACATACATGTAAACAGTTACAGATCTAATTAAAAATTATAATAAACAACTTTCGAGTGTATAAAAAAAAGACATACAAAGATCTTTACATTTGAATATAAATAAATATAGAATTTAAAGTAATAAAGAATATAAAAAATAGATAAAAGAAATAAAAAGAATAAAAGCTTTCATTAGGTTTTGAGAAGGAAATTAATTAGTTGTTTGGTAAGTTGTAAATAAAGAGATGAAATAGTTAAAATTTAGGTTTGAAGTTTATCCCTCGAAAAAACCTCGGAAGCTGCATGCTTGCATTCTTTGGTCGAATCTCTTTCTCTGTGTCTCTTTCCCAAACCGCGCGAAACACGTCAATCTCTCTTCAAACCACAAAAACGCAGTGTTTGAACAAAACTGCTTTCTCTATATATACCCAAACAATCTCAACCCTCTATAACCCTCTAACCCTATCTCTCTCTCTATCTCTATCTATACATCTCCTTTATCTTTGCACCACACGTTTAAACCTCTGGGCTTGGCAAGTTTTGGCCTTTTCATTCATTCAGATGGCCATTCCCTACCCCCATTTCATCGACACCGAGAAGGCCGCCATGGACGCCGGCCTTCTCCTCCCTTCCTCCTCCCGCTCCCCCTCTGTCATATTCACCCAAGATGACCTCAAGAAGATCGCCGCCTACAAGGCCGTCGAGTACGTCGAATCCGGCATGGTTCTCGGCCTTGGCACTGGCTCCACCGCCAAGCACGCCGTCAACCGCATCGGCGAGCTTCTCCGCCAGGGCAAGCTCAAAGACATCGTTGGAATACCCACCTCCAATATAACCCACGAACAGGCACTCTCCCTCGGGATCCCCCTTTCCGATCTTGACTCCCACCCTGTTGTCGATCTGGCCATTGACGGCGCCGACGAGGTTGACCCCTTTTTCAACCTCGTCAAGGGTCGCGGTGGCTCCCTCCTGAGGGAGAAGATGGTGGAGAGCGCGTGCAAGAAGTTTATTGTCATTGTTGATGAGTCCAAGCTTGTGAACTATGTAGGGGGGAGTGGATTGGCCATGCCCGTTGAGGTTATTCGGTTTTGTTGGAAGTTCACTGCCGAGAGGTTGCGCAAGCTGTTTGAGGAGGCTGGGTGTGTTGCCAAGCTTAGGACTGTTGGGGAGAAGGAGGAACCCTATGTCACGGACAATGGGAACTTCATTGTGGATTTGTATTTCAAGAGGAGTATTGGCGATTTGAAGGTTGCCAGTGACGCAATTCTGCAGCTTGCTGGGGTGGTAGAGCATGGCATGTTTCTAGATATGGCTACCACGGTTATTGTGGCAGGGGAGCTGGGCTTGACGGTGAAGAATAAATAGTTTTTGAGGCTTTGGAAGAGGGTTAGGAAAATGAAGGTAGGTTAATTGGTCAAGGCTGAGCTTTGACATGGGGTTCTAACTAATTGTACGGTGTAGTAGTGAAGTCTTTTATTCAGGGTAATGGGGGGTTCAATGAAATCCTTTTGCTATTGAATACAAATGTTAGAGAAAGTTTCTTAATACTCGGTAGTTTTGTTTGCTTTTTTGGGGGGGAAGTGGGAGGGACCGTGGAGACTTCTTGGGAGCTGATCATTAGGATATTAATCTAATGCAATGACTGTTGTGTGGTATTGAATCATTTTCCACACAATATGTTATTGAATTGACAATGTTTAACAAATTCAATCTATCTAATTCAATTTTTCTTTTTTTCCCCTTCGACTTGATATTATTGAATTATACGATTATAGTTTAGTGCATATTTGTTATATACCATGTTTGTGTTCATTAGTATGCAGTGCCTATTTGTTTTATCGTATGCTTGGGTCGATGTGTGTTTTGGTTACATGATTCAGATGAAATTTTCAGAGGCTTATAGCGAGTGATATTTCCCTAACTGGAATCGATCTCGCTTATTTGCTTTCCTTCTTTTGCCTTAGACAGATGAAGTAAAATTTATGTTATTTTTCCGAATACGCAAGCCATAAAGCAATGCAATGATGTCCAACGAAAATGGAATTTAGTTAGTGCTTTGGCTTTTGGTATTGGGTTGCTGACATTCTGAGATAAACCAGGTATTCTTTGGAAGCATTGAAAGATCCAAGGCAAGCTGCAAATACTTCTAAGCTACCATGTGGTCCTTGTTCTGTGATTTCTTGCATTTATACACATTATGTGACCGAAGATATTTTAGTGCTTACATTTATGTTTGATATTATACTGCGTCTTATTGATTCATGGTTATTCAATTACTGGACTGATTGAATTTTATTTCGACCTAATGGTGTTAGACAAGATACTGCCAGTTGCCACAGTTAATGTTGTGGCGTATTTGGTTGCACATTGCAATTGACGCATAAAAGTGTTGTATGCTTGCCCTTGAGAGTTAACATTACAAATATTGGTTATCGTGCTACTCTACTAGTGTTACTTGAAGCTACAAGTGAAATGCAAATAGATACACCAGTATGATGATACTTCTGCAGAACTGGAATTGTTGCAGAGGACCTGTAAAAATGCATTTCGTTTATATTCAAAAACAAAACCCTTACCTGCCAAGTTCAATAAAAATCAACGCTTCTCTTGTACGACATAACATTTTCCATTTCAATATATTAATGTCTTAGCCATTAGTTCAGCATTTATCTTTTGAAGTAAATTTCCCAATCTCCTATCACATTCTTATTGTTTTACTTTCTATGCCAATTTCCAAGCATGTTCTTATTTAATTTTTAGATTTGGGTGTTTTGTATTCATGATTGGGTTTTCATTTATATATATTGAATGTCCTTGTCAGTGTTTCATTTATGCTCCAAAAACAAAACCCTTACCTGCCAAGGAGTCCATCGGAAGAGTAAAGGATTTGCCTCGTGAAGGGCTGCATCCAATGTTCATGAAGGTGTTGGAAACGGGGGAGTTAACAGCACTTGCATTTTCTGAGCATTTGAAGAAGTTTAGGTGAGTGTAAGATTATGTCATGCAGGTATCCTTTCTACTCATATTCTTTCTGTAGATTCTACAGTTACATTGCTTTAATAACTCAATTTCAGGCCAAAACAAACCATTTTGGAAGCCGACGGAGAAGCTGCTAAATCAAAGCATCAACAACTGAATTTATTCTTTAAATACATTATCCACATTATGTTCAGTGTAGAATTCCATTTTCTTGTCCAATTCCATAATTTCATTGTTTGATTTGGTATGTAGAGTAACTTTGTTGTTGTTCGCCTTCTTCCAGGGATTAAAATCAACTCTTCTCTTGTACGACATAACATTTTCCATTTCAATATAATTAATGTCATAGCCATTAGTTCAGCATTTATCTTTTGAAGTAAATTTCCCAATCTCCTATCACATTCTTATTGTTTTACTTACTATGCCAATTTCCAAGCACGTTCTTATTTATTTTTTAGAGTTGGTTATTTGTATCATGATTGGGTTTTCATTTATATATATTGAATGTCCTTGTCAGTGTTTCATTTATGCTCTGTTATATATCATATTTAGGGGTGGGCAAACTGCACTATCTGTACTGTATTATAACCAAACTATAATTAACTATATAATAATTCAAAGAAACTGAATTGAACTAAAAAGTAGTTAAGAAAAACTGATCTGAACTTAATTTTAGTGCACTTAGTGCAGTACAATCCAGTAAACTGCTTAAGTTCAAAGTCACACTTTTCATCACACGCAATGCCTTCCTGGACTGTCCTCCTCTGGATCCTCTCCTGTTTCCCTGTCACGTGGTCTCCCAGCGCCTCCCCTTCTCCGACCACCTCCTCCTCCCCCGCCGCGCATGCCTCCCTACGCTCCTCGCCGCCNTCTCTAAATTTATGGAATAAAGAAATCTTATGGATCTAACTTCATTATTTAGCATATGTTCCATAAAGTGAAAGTCACGTGTGATGGTTGTGAGCATTAACCAAAGTTTGATTCCTTCCTATTATTGCATCCAATGACCCAATTTTACTAACTATATATAATACGCATTATTAATACATCACCACTTAAACTTCACCTACGTATGCTCCTAATAACATATATATAAACCCTAAAGACAATCGTATTAGGTTCAGTTTCTCATTGATTTTGTTTTTCAAATGTTACTTTGCCAACAAATCAAAACTAAACAAAATGAAAGATGGAAGCAACACAGACAGGAAGTGACTTTAGTGGAAATTTTTTAAACAAAATTCGAAAGTGGACGAAAAAAAAAGATACAAGTGTGAATTTTGTTGTTTCCTTCCGCAAGCAAAGAGTCACAAACACTCAAACTTGCTGTGTGTACATGAGAAATCACAGATCTTCAAACAAATATTTTTTTTTTGTAATATGTAAATGTTATAATTGTAAGAATTTTTAGAATAAATTTAGTTTCTAATAAATTAAAATCAACTTCATTTATGTATAAGTTAAAATTTAATAAATTAGTTTGACCAGAAAACACGTGCACGGATGTATTATTTATTAATAACCATATAACTAACTTTGTAGTCAAACTTGATTAAATCATTATTTATTATTTTGTGAAAATGAACTAACTTTTCATCTTAATCAATTTACGACTGAATAATAGAATGAACCTCTAGATAATTTACTCAAATTAAAACGTTAATTGTTAAAATTATTATAATTTCTAAATTCGATTTGCTTATATTGGTAATTTAGCATAACTGAATGAAATTAATCATAGTTATAATTGTTGCTTCTTCTTTCGTAAATTATTGGTTTTTAGGATTATTGTCCAATCTCTAAAAAAAGATAAATATTATGGTTTCATTTATTTTAAAGTCGTATAAAGATTTTTTATTTAACTGTCATTTTTTACAGGTGATTTTTTTTAAAAATGTCATAAAGAATTGAGGGTGCATGTGGGTGAGGTAATCAAATGCTTAGCTTGGCACATGGGTGACGCAATATGATGAGAGTGTACGGTGTCGTTTGATTGGTTTACCTAAGATGACTTCATTATCTCACTTTGTCCATTTCTCTACTATTGTTATACGATGAATTATTTCTCATAAAACATCAACTGCTTTCGTCCAGAACGCTGCTAATGTCACGTTAATTTTTAAATTTAAATATTAACTTTTAACATTTTATCTGACAAATATAAAAATATAAGTATTTTAAAAAGAAAGTTTTATTTAAAATATTTTGTTTTTTATTTTATTAAAAAAGTGTGAATTAAATATTTTCATAAAAAGTATTAGCAAAATTAGAATTTATTTTTGATTTGCTAAAGATGTATTAAAGTAAAGTATATGTAAAAACCCAGGAAATAGAATAATAGAGTAGATAAGGTATTAAAATAATTGAATTGAGTTTTTAATGTTGAAATATATCAATAGTGTAAATAGAAATTTTTAAACACTTAGCTCATTATCTTAAAACTGTTTATCTCTCTAGAATCACTATTTCCTAATTTTTCTCTTCCTTCTCTCTAGATTTCTTTACCCATAGTTCATCTGTTCAGTAATAAGGGGCACTTGAGTGATTCTGGCATCACCAGTTTTCTATTCCCTCGATCAATTTCGTCTTTAGAGCGGGTAAGTGTTGTTCCTCAAATTCTCGTGAATTTCTGCATTGTCTGGTACATGAAAACATTGTTCGGTTTGCATGTGTTCATCAACTCTTCATCTGGGTTCTAATTTTGTTTATGGTTCTGTGATTGGTCTCCTTTCATCAATCAAAAATTTGTAGACATTTCTAGAATTTCCCTGCGATCTAAGCAAGAGTTTGAAGGTTGTAGAAGTTGTTCGGTCCAATTAGAGGTAAGGAAAGCTAGTTAATTTGATTATGATTTTTTTTATGTATGAAATTACTGTTTGGATGGTTGCATGTATATGAATTGGATGTTTGATTGAATTGTGTTGAATTGATGAATGATGGAACCTGGGAACTAGTTGAAGTCCCTGCATAAGTGTTCGATCTTTTCTGGTTTTGGAAAAGTGAGTAAGTGAAAATGAGAGTTTGGGGCCGAGAGCGAAATTGGTCAGTGGGAAGAGTCTGAGCAAGTGTGTTTAGACCTGTTAGAACCTTTAAGTCCTCTTATAATGTGTCATAAGTAGGAAAATGAATTTTTGGTCATTTAGTTCTGATTATGCAGGAGTTGGGATGAGATCTGATAAGAGATTCTTTAGGATAATGTTAGAAAGGTTTAGGTATCCTTGTATAGGTGTAAATAGGAACATGATTCGTGTTTGGGGAATTAGAAGTTTGGAAAAATATTCAGTTTTGGTAAAGTTAGGAGTTGTCCATATTTCTGCAGAATTATGCAGAACGTGGAACATGCGCGGTTGACAGATCAACCATGCTCTGATTGGCTGTTTGGTCATATTCATGTGATCGATCATTAAATGGGTTCAGTCTCTTTAGAGTCTTACCAGTTCATGACCGTTCGATATTAGGTGTGAGTGGTATTCCTCTTGTGTTCGGTCTTAACTGAGTTTTGCTTCTGTAGAGTTTCAGTTAATGACCAAACGGTCTTGCACTAGTACTCGATCATGCTTTAGTCAAGTCAAGTGGTCAGTCATAATATGCTTATATGATATTTGTATGTGTATGATTATATTATATGTTTGTTTGAATTGCATGTTAACATGATTAATTAAATTACATTAGCTTACCCTTATTTTCTATCTTGTCATGTTGTCTGTTCGATATTGTTCCTTGCGATGATCGCCCTGTGGGTGTGAGCAGATGGAGAGGAGTTTTCACTGGAGCAATCGCTGGAAACAGAGGATCCACCTACTTAGGTATAAGACCGTTCGGTCTTGTACATATGTTCGTACCAACAGAGGAATTCTGTAAAGTTTTAAATTTTTCTGGTCATTTTAGGATAATTGTAAGATTTTTCTACACTGACGGTTCTATCTTGTTATTATGTGATGTCTCATTAATATAGTTTCATACTATCATTTTTGGGATGTTATAGTATACAACTTAATTTTTTTATCTTACCATGTTACTTATCATGTTAAATGAAATTTACTGTCCGTAATTAATAATGTTTACATTTTAAAATATTTTAAATTTGCAGTAATTTTGAACTAAAACCATGGTTTTAAAACCGGTATCAAATAATTTAAGAGAAATATATAAAACTAAATATTAAAGTTGAGGTGTCTATCTTAAGTAGGGGTGGGCAAACTGCACTATCTGTACTGTATTATAACCAAACTATAATTAACTATATAATAATTCAAAGAAACTGAATTGAACTAAAAAGTAGTTAAGAAAAACTGATCTGAACTTAATTTTAGTGCACTTAGTGCAGTACAATCCAGTAAACTGCTTAAGTTCAAAGTCACACTTTTCATCACACGCAATGCCTTCCTGGACAGTCCTCCTCCGGATCCTCTCCTGTTTCCCTGTCACGTGGTCTCCCAGCGCCTCCCCTTCTCCGACCACCTCCTCCTCCCCCGCCGCGCCTGCCTCCCTACGCTCCTCGCCGCCTCCCTACGCTCCTCGCCGCCAAAACCATCTTCATCACTGACAACTCCCCTACCAACTTCTCCCTCGACCACACCCCCTTCACCCACCCCGACCTCTTCTCCGCCTCCTCCCTCGCCGGCGTCCAGTCCTTCCTCGACTACTCTCTCTTCGGCGACGGCCTCCCGCCCTCACCCTCTCCCTCCGCCGGCAACTCCATCGACTCCTTCTGGAACTCAGGTGCGTCCTCCTTCGGCTCCCGTCTCAACGGCATCGTTTTGCTCCCCCTCTTCTCCTTCGTTCTTCCACTGTTACCATGCCAAGGTTTTTCAATCTCTTTTGAAAGGGAAAGGGAAAAACGTGGGTTTGCAGATTTGCTTCTCTTTCCAACGAGAAGTTTTCTCAGAACCCGAGTCTTCGACAACAATGGCGGCAGCAGGAAATTGTGATGGAAAAAGGAAATAGAAAAACCTACGATTGAAAAAGGAAACAGAGGAAAACTGAAACCATAGTTAACTGTATTCAAAATGAAATAGTTCAGTATTTTTAAACTGAACTGTTAACCAGTATAATTAGTTTTTAGTAAAAGTAGTTTTAAGTTTTTTAAGTTTAAAACAGTACAGATAAACTATAATTTAAGTTTCTTAACTTAACTGTGCCCAGCCCTAATCATATTAAAGTTTATGCTCCTTGTGACCAAAATAGCCCCCTTGAAATTAGTTATGATGTGCATGTCTATATTGTTATCTTTGTACTTTTCCTATACTTTGGACGTGATGCTCATTAATTGCATGGCCCTTCTGGGCAATGGGGCGATGTGATGACAAAGAAAAGAGCCATTCATGCGAATATTATAAATTTGGTCCAACAACAGCAATCTAAGGATAACAAGGAAAAGGTATGTGGCTACTGCTGAAATTTGGATTTGGACAATTCAACTTCCTTTTTCTTTAAATAACCACCAGTATTCTGCTGACTGATTGGAATCAATAACAGATAATTTTATTTTGGATTTTCTGTGGAAACTGTCTGCTAGGCTATCGTTTGATATGCAATTTTCTTTCCCTGTTGCATCCAGCAAATACCTTTCCCGTGTAAGAATTTGTCGGTTAAAATTGGTAGAAAAATTCAAGGTTTACTTTTACTTGGACATGCTTTATTAAGGATTTGAGTGAAAGAAGACTAGAAGAGTTAAGTTAGAAAAATATGATGATTAGTTTCTGATTCTGTTTACTTGAGTTTTAGCAGCACGTGGTTCTAAGAGAAAGCCCCAAAGTATCAAGGATGAAGATCACTATATAAGTTCAATACCAAAAAATCAAGTAAGTTTCTATCTGAATTACACAGTTCATCATACAGATATACACTATATTCATGGTGGTTATGATTCTGAAACAAAAAAACATTGCTACTAATTTTGCTATGATTCTCAGCATATGGAGGCTGACCTTTCAGTAAAAGCCAATGAAGACTTTGCTTCAAAAAGGCAGCAGTTTTCTTTATTATGCTATTGTGGTGATTTTATTGTAAACCATTTCTAAATCATTAGTTCAGAAGCCAAACTAAAACTTTTAGCTGATTATGTTTGTGCTTTTTGTGTTTAATTTGTTTGCTTGTGTATTATTGTGTTGTGACTTTCAGCATGTATGATTCAGTTTCATTTATACAATCCCATCCTTTCTCATGTTTTTAGTTTTTGCTTGTTTGGTTTTGGTCCTAATAATACTCAATATTTTTAGATTGGAGTCGGCTGTCCTTGATCTAGTCGCAGATGATGGTGCTGGCATTCACAAACAAAGATCTATGTATCTGTTACGTATCCGAGTCGGAGACGTAATTAATCACGATCACAGTAGGTAGAAAAGACAATGAACGAATGATAATGGATGAATGAATCTTTTTTATTGATGGTAATATCTGAATAAACAAAAGTAAACAATAATTGGGAGTATAACCTCCTTCAATTACTTGGGAGCATAACCTCTCTCGCAGGACGCATAGCCGCCTGTTAACAAAACTCAATAATCAAAAGCATACTCTTAACCTTAGACTCTAGTTTTTATTATACTAATTGTTTCCCGCTCATCTCATACTAAATATCTCCCTAGAATATATCTATATTTAATATAAATATCCCTATATTTAATATAAATATTCTCCCTTATATTTCCCTAGCATATATCATTAATTATAAATATCTTATATTGTATATTTACCTAAAATATATATTTATTTACTCTAATTATCTTATACTGAATATTCTCCTCAAATATAACTCCCATTACTGTAATTAGTTCCTATCCATCCTAACCGCTGTGACAGTTAGGATGGTAGCTCTTCTATTGTTCGTCCTTCGCTGCATCCCACCGTTCGGCCTGCTCGCTCCCTGCCTTCCCGCGTTCGGCTTGGTCGCTCCTCGCCTTCCACCATTCGGCCTGGTTGCTCCTTACCTTCCTCCGTTCGGCTTGCTTCCCTGCCTCCTACCGTTCGGCTCCAGCTCTTCACCACCTTCCACCGTTCGGTTAGATCTCTCCACGCCTTCCACTGTTCGACCTTTACGGTCAATACGCCTCACTTCCCTCCTATCTTCCTTCTTCTCATATACTTTCCAAACCTTATTATTACCCCCTACCTTATACCGTAGCAGTATCACTGCGATAAGGTAATACTGAAGTTGTGATTGATTTATAGGGAAGACAATTATTTTTTAAATTTTATTGAAAAATGTCTAATTTGTCTCATGTAAACCTTCTGGTGCCAGAGGAGTAAAAAGTACATCAAGTTAAACAATGGTGATCGTGTTGCTGCAAACGGAAAGGTACAATATTTGTAACCCCATAGTTTATATTGATACTATGCAAAGTGGGATTCTTCTATTCTCACCTACCTTGAAGAATTAGAACATAAATATAAACTTTCCATTCGAGTGTAGATAAAGACAGAGAGTGGTGAAAAACGAAGGCCAAGTGGAAAGAACGTTCACATGGTAAGATATCGCTTAGAGGGACAAACGACGGTGATCCTCAGGAATCAACAAGTTTGGCAGGTACTGTACGTTGTCTGCTTCTTTTTATTTTTATGTTTGATGATGAACTCTGTTATGCTGGTAACTACTATTTATCATATAAGAAATAAATACTGTAGAAGGCTGCATGAGTTCTCTCATTTCCAGGATTAAGAATTTTCTGGGCATTTGCATGTAAAATACCCATATATTTGTTGTCTTCTTGAGAAATTAGTATTATTGAAGTTTACCTGACTCTACGAAATATATACGAACCAAAACATTGTTTATGTTATATTCTTTGTTTTGATGTTCAATCAGAATAAGGATCAAGCTTAGTAAGCTCGTAGGTCTTGCTATACTATATTGAAATTACATTGAAAATCATATTCATAGCCATAAATTGAATTTACCTTATTGTTTTATATCTCAGTCAAAGCTACAAACTTGTCAACTGTTCCTATGTAACATTTAAAACTTCTGATCTCACTTTTGAATCTGTCGCATTTCTGTGTCATGTTTTTCAACTTTCTTGTAGATAGTTGTGTTGTAACTGTTGGTTGGTAATGTCAAAGATAATGTATTCTTGTAAGATATTTTTGTTTAATATAAAAACTAAACGTGAAACTCTGAATTCTTGTTATACAGGTTTCCATTATCTTTAGTCCAAAACCAAAACCAAAACCAGTTTCCATTATCTTATTATTTTGAAATGCCTTGTGTAATGATTTCACCATATTCCCTTGAGATGAAAAAACTTAAAATCTTGAGTTCAAAACGAATGTCCATAATCTTAATATTTTGAATTGAAGTTGTATAATGTAATGATTTCACCATATTTTTCTTCTCACATATAATATTTTCTATTTAATTTTTAAATTGTAGCATTTTAGATTTTTCCATTTTTTGTTTTTGTGTGCAGCAGCTGCCTATTGCTACAAATAATGATAGATTAGAAAACCATTTCATTCTCTCGAAATCTTATCCTATAAATAATTATAAAAACTATAATTATAAAAATAAATATAAATAAGTCTTACAATTTAATTATAAATAGTTTTTATTTATTTTGTAAATGATTTTTATTTATTTAGTAGTTGATTTTTGTTTATTTAACTTCAAAAAGTAATTAAATTTGAAAACCTGGTTAAATTTAAAAAATAAATTAAAATTAAATAAAATGGTAACTTAAACTAATAACAAGTAGAAAAAAAATTGGATAAAAAAATCTCTTTAATATATATATATTATATATATATATATATATATATATATATAGAACATGTTATTAATTATGTAATAATGGAATTAGTGGGAATAAATACAAAAGTTGTTTTAATCAAAGTTTTAGGCTGTGTTCATTTTAGAGGATGAATTTGAGAATGAGTTGATTGTTATTTTTTTTAGAAAATTTTGAAAGTGATAGAGAGGAAATTTGAAAATAAAGTTTGTAAAAATTAGTTGATCGATGTAACACAAAAAAATGTTTAATAGATAAAAATTAAAGATTACCAAAATATTTTTAGTATATAAGTAATAAAAATATAATTGTTAATATTATATATATTTGTAAAAATTATTTTAAGAGAGAAAAAATAAAAATTAATTTTAACATGAATAATAATAATAATAATAATAATAATAATTATTATTATTATTCGTATTAATAATATTATTATTATTAATGTTTACTATTATTATTAAAACTAGGAATATAGATCACTTGCATGAATTAAACAACACAAAAAAAAAAAAAAAATCACAAAACAGTATCACGTCATAAAATCAAGAAGCAGTTCTTTTCTTTTTTGCAATCTCACATTGAACAATGATAATGAGGATTAATATTGTAAAAAAGCTTCTTTTCTTCGTAAATCTTCCAAATTCGTCTTTCAACAGTAAATTAATTAAAATAAATATAACTTGAGTTACCGTCATTAATTAAAATACAGTTTCTTTATTTTAATATTTAAAATTTTAAAACAAATTTAAAAAATATATTTAAACACAATTTTAATTTAATTAATTTTAAAATTAAAACCGTGATTTCATGATAAAAAATTATATGTTACAGAGCTTTTTGTTTTAAAGTACAGCCGGAGACAAAAATAATTAGAAGTTATGATTTCAATCAAGACTATTGTAGTCTTTTAAAATAAAATTCTTCATTTCAATCAACACTTTCATTTAATATTGTATTTGAAAAAGTAGAAGTCATGATTTCAAGCGAGATATTTTTTTTCCAAAAGGTATATGTAATCACAAAAATAACCAATTTTTAATCTCTCCAAATCTTAAATCTCTAAAAAGTTAGCATTATTTCATTTAATAAAACGATTACGCTTTTAAAAATTAAAAACATAATCCCTTGTAAAATATGTTGAGATGACTCCTTTATGTCGCTAATGGATCCAACGTATTTTTTCAGGCCAAAAGTAGTCACAAAAATTAATAAGAGAT